TCTCTCTCTCTCTCTCTCTCTCTCTCTCTCTCTCTCTTTCTCTCTCTCTCTCTCTCTCTCTCTCTCTCTCTCTCTCTCTCTCTCTCGGGTGTCACCTGCACTGCCGCCAGAGCATTGTGGGCGGCGTACACATTATGATACATCTGCGTTGTCCAGCAAGGTCGTATGGAGCGGACAGTGCAGGGCAATTCCCTCCGGTTCTCGTCGCTGCCCGCATCATGTACGGAAAGTGCAATGCAGGACACGCAGCCGGCATCGTCCCACCACGAAGGACGGGCGAACGATGGCGCTTCTGCTTTCGGCGTGGCGGCAACATGGCCGAGCCAAGCTCGTCCTTGCGGGTGGGAATTGCCGCCTTTGCCGAAATGGAAGAAGGCGCCCGCTTTCCCCCTATCTACCCCGGCTGGGTCCACGTGGAGCAGCCACGTGTAAGGCGGGCAAGGCGGTGTGACGTGCTTTCCTGCGCGAGCGTCCAGTGTTCCCGGGAGCACGCGACCGCCATCGGCTTTGGGTGGGTCGTTGTGGGGCAGCCAGGTGGAAGGCGGGCAGGGTGGTACGACATACTTCAGTTCGCGAGCGTCTGCTGTTCCAGGGAGTACCGGATGGGGAATACCGCAGGATGGGCAAAACTGCGTGGGATTCAGTGGCCCGAATGTAGGGGTCGGTGGCCAACGTCAACAACCACGGCTCGACGGGGTGGTGGGAAGCAAGGGAACGCTGTCCATGGATGTGGAATCAGAACCGTCACTTGCCCAAGGGTCGCTGACAGTTGACTGCGAACTGGGACCGTACTCGACTATGTTGCAGTGCAGCGACGGTGGGTCGGACATGCAGCCCGCGTCGCGGTTCCCGTCTTCGAGGAGCCTGGGCGGCAAGGGCATGGGCTCACCATCACATGGAGGTCCTGAAGGAGTTCATGGGAATGCAGATTTCACTGCAGGGGATGCGTGGATGGGTGGTGTGGCGGACATTGCTGGCACCCAGTACGGAGGGTGTTCCAGCGGCGGTTCGGATGGGGAGTTTAGTGCGCACGGGCGTTCTGACGTGTCCAGCATTGACGGCAGCGTTCGACGTGCCCGTGCGGTTGGAGGGGGGGGTGATGGTGAGCCTGCTGCAAAGGCAAAGGGCCGTGCAGCGGCGGGCGGAGGGGGCGGTGAGGGTGAACCTGCAGCCACATCCAGGAATCGTGCACCGCCAGGCGGAGATGGTTTAGGTGGAGAACCTGCAGCAAAAGGCAAGCCCCGTTCTCCTGATTGGAGCACAGATGAGAGCGTGGGGCTGCTCACTTACCTATTTGAGGAAGACGCTCTGCAAGAGAAGAGGAAAGGAAGACAGAAAATGCGCACAAGGAGGGAGAGGTACGAGTGGATCATTACCAAGCTCGTCGAGAAAGGGTTCGAGGCCCGCAACGTTGAAGAGTGTGAACGCAAGTTCTACAACCTGCTCGACTGCGGAAAGCGGATCCGTGACTTTCACAATAGATCCGGTGAACAGATCTATTGGAACATGGATCGGGTGTCCAGAAAGAAGGAGGGGTTTCCTGTGTCGTTCGACAAACAGTTGTTCGATGCTCTGCGGTGGAAATTGCAGAAGGCGGAGGGGTCTTGTGAAGGGCTTATGAATTCCGTTCAGTACAATGAAGGATGGTCGAGTGCTGTGACGGACGATGATGACACAGGTGGTCGGAATGGCAGCCCCGTTCCGCGAAGGCGCGACGGGAATGACGGCGGTGAAGGGTCGAAGAGTGCACGTACGGAGGGGGGTGGTGGAAGTGCTCGCTGGAGCCGATCCCAGTCATCAGCGGAAGTGAACAGGGGGGGGGGTTTCGCTGATGTGGCACATGCATTGGTGGAATCGAATGACAGACAGGCGGAGAAATTGGCAGGCACTTTTGCAAATGCCATGGATGGCATCAACAACATCCTCGCACAGGGCAATGCCACGCTTCTCCAATGTTTCACTATGCTGTCCGGGGCACTGTCGGGACGACCTGCGGACAACGGACCGCCAATAACAAAGGAGCAATCACGGGCCGGTTCGACATGAACGCCCGGTGCCATTCATGCACTGCGGAGGCTGATGATGCAGCGGCGAGTGCCTTCTTGGTTTCCAATTAAGCGAGCGTTAACTTTTCATGCATTTTTTTTTTTTTTTGGGGGGGGGGGGGGGGGGGGCGCGTTGAGCGAACGAGGGTGCTGAATGTCATCTAACGACATCGTGTGTGTGTTTGTGGTGGGCTGGTGGCATGGGTGCAGGGAACGTGAAGGCTGTCCACGCCTCTCCGCGACCGCATCATGTCCTCGACGCCCTTACGCGAAGTCAAAGACGTTGTGGACATGGCAGGTGACTTTGCACTGACCCACAGACGTCTGATCGAGCAGGCCCACGAGCTGGCCAGGAAAAGGGGTGTGCTTTTCACACGCATATCCGGTATGGTCGACGAGATAAAAAGGTTGCTGGGGGAGGTTGAGAGTTCCAACACACGTGAGGCGATGGCATTGTCGAGACCAGAGGTCGCTGAAGAGAAGGTGGGGGTGCTGCGCGCGGAGGTCCAGAGACTGCAACAACTGCTGGCAGCCGTCCGCGAAGGGGAATCTGTGCGTGGCACAGATAATTTCGTTAGTACATTGTCCAGCCCCTGCAGCAGGCATTCCGGGGCCGTTTCGAGTGTCCTCGTGTCTGTTTCCCGCTCGCCCCGCGAGAGTGCTCCCCGTTCCCAGCCACACAGGCGCGTGGCCACACCGCCCGCCTGCATCCGGACTTCACCTAACGACAGTTCAGCTAACGTGAACAGGCGGGATGTCACTGCGGTTGCTGACCAACTGCGCAGGGCGATGGCGATCGAGGAAGACCATATATCGGGGTCCGGTTTTTGAAGTCCTTGGTTGCCAGCTTGTTCTCCCGGGCTTGCCAGGGCCCTCCACCTCCGTTCCTTCTCCGCGCTTGAGCACAGCGGAATCTTTGGTTCATTTTTATTTTATTCCCTTTTTCAGCTTTTGCTTGTGCAAGCTCGGTGCCGAATGAACTGCCTCCTGTCGGGTGGCAGATCACCCCTTAGCAGTTTTTGGTACGAGTTCGCGTACTCGTCACGAGAGCTGTTGTTCGTTCGTCATGTTTTTGTCATTAGGTGGCAAGAGGCTACACGCCTCGCAGTGTCACGACCGTGGACATGTCTGCGATGTCTTATGTTTTGCAGTGCCGTCCCTGGTTTGGAAGTACTCAGTTTGCAGCTTTTTTTTTTTTTTTTCGATTCCCGTCAGACACTAAAGTCTTTGTAGGGGCGACCCCCGTCGTCGTTGTCGCCAGTTGTCGTTTTCTTTTTTTTGGACAAATGTCAGTGGCTTGTGGATCGAGGGTAGATGTTGACGGATAAACTGCTTTCGAATTGCTGTTATGATCGTCTTTCGGGCAACGGATGAGATACTATTTGCAACATGTTTTGCTGCACCTTTTTCTTTCCATTCTCCATTTCCCCATCGCTCTGTGATGCAGCATCACAGATGTATGTGTATTGCAGTTCTCTCACCTCACAGTCTAACGAACATAAGCAGTCCTGAGAACGACATCAACTCTCTCTCTCTCTCTCTCTCTCTCTCTCTCTCTCTCTCTCTCTCTCTCTCTCTCTCTCTCTCTC